TGCCCCGCCCGCCCCTCGCCTACCGGGCCTCGAGCGCGGCGGACCCCTCCCTGCCGGTGACTCCTCGAGGCCTCCAGCCCGGTGCTGTCTTCCCGGTCCCTCGCCGAGGACCCCCCAAGCCCAGGTGCTTTGAGAATGGGCTGCTCAGCCTTGCTGATCTCGGTGGAGGGGCGACTCGGTGGGGCCCTGGACGTGCGCGGGTGAGTTCAGGGGAGCAGCAGTAAGGGTTGTTGCAGTTGCTGATACTTCTACAGCAGTTTTGGAGCCGTGAGCAGGCTGCCAGGCATCGGTCCGCTTCTAGTCTTCGTCACAGTGGGCTGGAATCTCTACACCAGCTGGAGGAATAAACTTTTTTTGTTCTGGCTGAAGTGAAGATGGGAGGCAAGACTGAATCCAGAGGGTGGGCCACCTCAAGGCCACTCCCTAACCATGGCCATACAGATGTATTTTCCAGAGTGCCATTGGAAAAAAATTCACACTTGTTCATAACTGTATAGTTTGGGCATTATCATGTTTTCCCCTGGCGTTTGTGTTTTGAAATTGCCTTGGTCGCAGAACTCCCTTCATCCCATTAAAACAGCAATCACTTGAATGTAGGCATGCTACCATCGTCATTTCACACTTCACCTATTTAGTGGCATGAGTTCTGTGCATGTTTAACAGTGATGCTGTTGGGGAGACAACTAGTATTAAGCCCTACCGTAATAGATCGGACACATAAATATTTGTCCCTCAAATTATAGCTAAGTTAGAATGTCCGACACTGAACAAAATATTCCAAGGGTGTCAGGTTCTTTCTTTTCTTGACTGTCTCTAAGAAAGGCACAAAAGTGTAACTAATTCACAAGTTTATAAATAAAACAAATTCACATTAATTAACATAAAGTTGTTTAGCCCTTTGCTGTGTGCTTCAGTGGTTATGAAAGATGTGTGATTTGGGTTTCTAAGCTAATCACCTGCAGTTCAATTAAAATTGCACCCAAGAATCAGCCAATAAGGCATTCCAGAACCTTTCCCACAAATAAAATAATGATAAATGGGGCCAATAAGTAATAATTCAGTCTGAGTCCTGGGAAACTCAGTGAATAAAGAAATTGAGAAGCCTTTTGAGTTTTTGGATCAATAATGCATAGTTGTTGACTGAAAAAAACAGTCATCAGAGATGTGATGTCATCAGAGAATGACTATGGAAGAGAAAAAAGAATGGAAAAGCTTTGGATGGCAAGTGAAGGTGAGAGAGGTAGGAGAGATTGTCAAGTGTAAGGTTCTGGAACTAAAAATTAAAGATAAGGTAGACTTTGAATATCGAGGCACAGTTGTTTCTCAGTATCCAGGAAACACTGATTTTAGGACACCTGTCCCTTACCTCAGTCGGCACATGTCCAGTCCTTCAGAGGAAACAGTGATTATGTAGGCTACACATTCTCCCTTAGGCTTTCAGTCATTTCTAGGTTAATTATAAAACTGAGCACAGTGTAGATGATATGTAAATAGTAATTATTCTGTCTTGGTCAGGGAGAGATGAAACTGCACATGCCCAATGCAGACACTTAGAAAGTGATGTTTGCTCCATTAATGGTTGAACCCTTAGAGGCTAACGCCTCAGGATTTGGAGGGTTGCTTGAATGTTAAATATAGCAGTTTGTACTTGGATTTATAGGCCAGGGGAATCATTTTCATTAGTGGAGTCATGGAGTTCTGTGAAGATTAATCTGGTGGCCAAGTTGAGGGGTAAAAGGGATAGATTAGGGAAACCACAGTAATTAAAAAAGTAAATGCCTCGTACTCACTTAGCTTTGTAGCCTTTACTGATAGAATCCTGTTGATAGAATCATGAAAGTCTTCAGTTGTGAATGCTAATTTAGTGACCCACCTTAAGGCACCTGTCTTTTAGATGTACTGTGGTAAAAATTTCAAGAAATGTAATAAATCACAGATCACAGATGAGACTTCCATGTGGCCATATGTAAGCTAAATCAAAAGGAAAAGAGTTCGCCTTCTTAGTACCCGAATTACTATTTTCTGTGAAGATCACTCATTAACACCCATTCCGTTCCTACATTACTTGCCAGATTGGGGGTGACCAAGGACCCTGTTTTTGTAGTATCATGGCAAGTCCTTTGGGCATATACAGCCTCTGCCAATTTGCACAGGATCATTCCTGTAGTTCAGATTTGGTTTTCTCTTGCCAAGTAAGAGAAACATTTCATTAGTGCTGTCTGTGCTGGGCATGGTGGCACACACCTTTAATCCCAGCAGAGGCAGGTAAATTTCTATGAGTTTGAGATCAGCCTGGTCTGCATAGTGAGTTCCAGACCGGCCAAGGCTACATAGACCCTGTCTTTAAAGAAAAGAAAAGGGAAAAGGGGGGCCATTTGTCATTGACTTATTAATGAAACAAATCATTAAAAAATTAATAGACACGATCAAACATGTTTGTAATCCCAGCGCTTGGAAGACTGAGGTAGGAGGTTTGAGATGGAAGTTGCAGCATTTTATCAGAACGTTTGTATACTTAGTGGGTTTTGTTGCTTCTTTTTGGTAGTTTGGGAACTCTAACTATAAAGGTGCGTTGCTATGCGTAGAGACAGTGCTTATGTTCCGTAAACAGTGGACGTTAAACCCCTTGTGAAGTGTGGGTTGTGTTTTGAGATGGGGGCCTCGATAAATACTGAAGGTTGATTGAGGCTGTAAGGGCAGAGATCTGAACTGATGAATCGAGTGTCACTATAAGAGCAAAGAAAGCTTGTTCTCATCACACCGTCACCAAGGAAAGGCCACGCGAGGACAAGATAGTCATTTGCAAGCCGCAAAGAGAATCCTCGTAAGAAGCTGAATTGGCTAGTGCCTTGATGTGGGACTCCAGCCTCCAGCTCTGTGAGAAAATAAAGGCCACTATTTAAGCCACTGAGTCTACAACATCTTGTAGCAGCCCAAACTGACTAATTCAGAAACACGGCTAAGGAGGACAAAGGGATTTGTAACTTACCAAACTCTGATCCACAGGAAATCTGTTTTATTAAAGAATAATAAAACCGCCTTACATTAGTGTGCAAGTATGGCTACAATAATGATGAAATTGAGAGAAAAACCAAAATTATATAGGATCTCAGTGAGTGAAGACTGCGCATTATATAGCTGTGGGGGGGGCAGGTATAGGGAAGGAGAAGGCAAAGTTACTTTTTAAAAAAGTGTTTTGGGTAAATCAGTATCCTGTGCCATGGTCATCTAGGAGACTGGAAGATAGGGAGAAAGGTGCCAACAAGCTTGCCTGTTGTTGCCGGCTCTTCCCCGCCTTGAAGGCCACCACATGCCCTCTACAAGTGCTTTTAACTCCACATTCCTCCGGTCTCTTCCACTTGTTGTAAGGACCCCAGTTGATTAGCAAAGAAACCAACAGTATGACCTTGCTTAATATTAATTATCTCTTTAGAGACCCTGTCTTCAAATGTAACCACATACGTGTTAGGGCTGCACTAACTTGCATAAGATGTCAGGGCTATACTAATTTGCAACATGCTAATTTACAGATTAATGTCATTCAGTTCAGATCACAATGCATGAATCCAACTGTTAGTAACCCCAAAGAACATCAAGGGAATCAAAAATATGTCTTAAGGTAAACTATCAGCAAAACTTGTTTCCAAATTTTTGTTTAAGAAAATTGAAAATTATGACAGTTTTAAGAAATATTGACTTCTATGATAGTAATTTTTAAAATTTTACTTTATCAGGAAAACTTCAATTTATCAGGAAGATTTCTGGTCACCAATTACTTTCACTTTACTGTGAAAGACAAAGACTCATTATATTTATTAGGATGAAATTGCTAACATAAATGGTATCTTCGAAGAAAAATTCAAAGCTAAAATCTCATTTTGAAATGTCTGTTTACTTCTTGTTTAAATCTATTGTTAGCTGATAGAAATGCTTGTTTATCTATGTAATATGAAACTATGTTTTTTTCCATTTTTCTTTTTTACTCTTCTCTTTGCTTCTCCTCTCCCCTGCTCTTTGCTCCCCTCCCTCCACTTTCTTTCTTTTGTAGTCCTGGGAATTGAGTCTGGGACCCTGAGAATGCTAGGCAAGTGTTTTATCTACCACAGAACCACATTCTTGGTTTTGTAACTATAGCATTAAAATGAAAACAATTTTTTTGAGACAGGGTCTTGCTATGCAGCCTTGGATGGTGTATGGTGCTCACTGTGTAGCCCAGGCTAGCCTCAAATTTGCAGCCTTCTTTCTGGCTCAGTCTCCCTCCTAAGTGCTGGAATTATAGGTATGTACCACCCACCATACCTGACTTTAAGCATTTTCTCTTTTTTTCTCTCTTCTCCCTAGGCCTCTGCCACTTTCTGTAGTGAGGATCTAACCCAGGGGCACATGCGTGCCAGGATAGCTCTGTTTGCTGCACTGTGTTTGAGTCTTAAAGCATAACTTAAAAAAGGATACATTTACTTTCATGGCGATGAGTATTTTGTGTGCATGTAAGTACATGTACCACGTGTGCCTGGTACCCCTGGGGGCCAGAATTCTCTGGAATGAGTTATGGACAGTTGTGAGCCACCACATGGGTGTTTAAAAACAAACCTGGGTCCTCTGAAGAAACAGGAAATACTCTTAGCTGCTGAGCTGTCTCTCTAGCACCAAGTGTTTATTAGGAAATAGCAGTTTGTTGGAAATTCAGTTTAAAGACTTGATGAACTGGGAATATCTGTACTTGTGGAAATACATGTATTATTTAATAATAAAACAATAACTATACACTAGTGATTTACACAACCCACTATATATAAATATATACCCTCTATATATATACATACATATATATATATATATGGTGTGTGTGTGTGTAAGGCATATAAAGTTATAATTAGCCAAAATTTTTATTTGTTCTAGAAAATATATAACCTAGGATTTGTGATGAATCCCATTTATAGATGTATTATCTAAAAAGAGATCATTGAGAAAATTTTATGATATTTTTAGGGCTGAGACTGTACCTCAGTAGACAGAAGCATGTGTGGGATCTGCAGAGGGCAGGGGAATGCAGCATGTTCTGTGCCTAGAGTTTATCTCTGTAGAGGAAAATAGAGGTGTGAATTTACAGAAAACCTTCAGTGAAAGTAAGAGCCCGCATTGTTTACAGAGCCTCTGAGAACCTAAGGCTCATTGCTCCACATCGCACCAGCATTTGAATGTTGTCAGCAATGAGACTGTCAATCTTTTTGCTTGATTTCTATTGTTATGTACTTTTCTTCAGAAACTATTCTTGTCTAATTTCTGTATGTTGAGTCCTAAGCAGTTGCATGCACTGAAAAATATTACCGTAATTTTTGTTTTCATCCTTTTTATAAAGTGCTGTGACGGACAGAGGTTGTTAATGTTAGTGCGTTCCAGATGTTAAACAGTGCCTTACTGATCAGTGCTTTTCTTGTTTTGGTTGCTGCTGAATTTGCGCTAGCTGCCTGGCTGTGTAGCTCAGTCAGGCCCTCAGCTTTGACTCCTTCTGCCAGAACCCCCACTCTTCCTGGGCAATTACTGCCTGTTTTGACTTGGAAGCCAGAGTCTCCAGGATCATGAAGTTACTTATATTAAGCTATAAATAATTATCCGAGCTTGGAAATATCTACAAAAGATCAAGAGTTCAAAACCAGCCTGGCTACTCCAAGACTGTTTCAAAAACCAAACCAATTCAAACCAAAAACCCCAACCACAGCAACCCCAACCCCCAAAGATCCAGAAGCTTATCCATCTACACGTCACACTTACTCCCAATATGCTTGAAAGTTAGGAGTCTTATTAAGCTTTAGCCTTCATGTGACTTGTTTCAGCTACATTTACTGCTAAAACTTTCTTCTTGGTCTGTTTACTAATGTGATGGTTAACACAATGTGATGGTTAACACAATGTGATGGTAAAGTATGCTTGAGAGGCCAAAATTTAAAAAAAAAAAAACCAGACTCTAACATGTAAACCCCTAACTTGTATAGGCTGTACCCTAGCAGCCCACTCCCCCCGCCCCGCCAATGTTGAGGACTATGTTTAAATCAATTAATCTTGTAAAATTTGTTGTTTTAGAAAGATAGTAGGTCATAAGACTGTTATTTTTGTTTTATAATTAAAGCTGTTTCCTCTGTTTTAAAGATGACTAGAACAGCTATAAGATATATATGTTAAAACTAGAGCCTGCCTACATGTAGACAGAATACATGTAATCTTGTGGGTTTTGCCTTTATAAACCTTTGGCTGATGTTGCTGTGTCTCGAGAGGGCTCTGGGGCATCAGTACCTATTAAAATTTAGTTATTGTCATGGTGAACCTTTGAGTGTCTCTAGACCTATAACAGCAGTTCCATATTTTATTATTCACTATAATTTGACATATTGCAGGACAAGTCCTTGTTCTTTTTCAGAGTTATCTTGGTTATATCTGGCTTTTTGTATTTCTGAAGACATTTTAGAAACAGCAGGTCACAGCATGGTGGTATATACCTTTAAGCGGTGGTACTTAGGAGGCAGGCGGTAGATCTCCGGGCTACATAGAGTCCAGATTTGAAAAACAAAACAAGAAACAACTTATCAATTTCAGGAATAACAATAATAATGATAGTAGCTACAGCCCCCACTTAGAGTATTGAGTGCAGTTGGGAAGGATTTGGTTATCTATAATTTTGATTCTTATAACTAGAGTGTAGATTTATTTAAGAACTTTTTTGGTGTCCATCCCTAAAGTTTTATAAATTACTCTACAGAGATAAGGTGCATAATATTTTTGTGTGTGCTTGATTTTTTTAAACCATGCCTGTAATCTTTTGCATTTGGGAGGCTGACGCAGGAGTATTGAAAAGTTAAAGGCCAGGCTGGTAGGCTGCCATCTTAGGGTTTCTATTGTTGTGATACTGTGATAAACACCAATGACCAAAAGCAACTTGAGGAGGACCAGGTTCCCTTATTCCTACAGCTTGCAGGGAAAATCAGTGCAGGAACTCAAGGAAGGAATCTGGGGGCAGTAACTGATACAGAGACCATGGAGGAATGCAGAGGCCAAGGAGGAATGCAGAGTACTGGCTAGTTTCCCTGGCTTGCTCAATTTGAACCACTTGTTCAGAGCTAGCACAATCTCCCTGTGGGCTGAACCTTCTCATGTCTATTACTAAGAACATGCCCCATTGTATGTAGGAGGAGTTTTTCGTCAGGACTGATGGCTCTCAAATAAACACACAGAGACTTAATATTATTTATTTAAAAAGGAAAACAAACTATCTTTTTTCATTTTACATATCAACCCCTGTTCCCACTCCCTTCCCTCCTTCCATCCCCTCTACCTTCCCCCTCCCACCCCCATCTACTCCTCAGAGAGGGTACGGCACATTGCTTTGAGGAAGGTCCAAGGCCCTCCCTACTAAATCTGGGCTGAACAAGGTATCCATCCAAAGAGAATGGGTTCCCAAAAAGTATAGTACAAACAGTAGGGATATATCCGGGTGCCACTGCCAGTGACCCCTCAGTCTGCCCCAGCCATACAACTGTCATCTACAGAAAGTCTAGTTTGGTCCTATGCTTGTTCCTTCCCTGACCGGCTGGAGTTGATGAGCTCCCATTAGCTCAGGTAAACTGTTTCAGTGGGTGTCCCCATCATGGTCTTGTCCTCTTTGCTCATATTCTCATTCCTCCTACTCTTCAGCTGGACTTGGGGAGTTCAGCCCAGTGCTCCGCTGCAAGTCTCTGCCTCTGTTTCCATCAGTTGCTGGAAGGTTCTATGGTGACATTTAAGAATTCATTAATCCGACCATAAGGCGAGGTCAGTTCAGGCACCCTCTCCTCTATTAGGGTTTTAGCTAGGGTCATCCTTGTGGATTCCTGGGAATTCTCTAGTGTCAGGTTTCTTGCTAGCCCCATAAAAGCCATCAGGGAAATACAAATCAAAACAACTCTGAGATACCATCTTACACTAGTCAAATGGCTAAGATCAAAAACATCAATGATAGCTTATTCTGGAGAGGATGTAGAGTAAGGGGAACACTCCTCCATTGCTGGTGGGAATGCAAACTTGTACAACCACTCTGGAAATCAGTATGGTGGTTTCTCAGAAAATTGGGAATCAACATACCTCAAGTAGCAATACCACTCTTGGGCATATACCCAAAGGATGCTCAATCATATAAGGATATTTGCTCAACTATGTTCATAGCAGAATTATTTGTAATAGCCAGAATCTGGAAACAATCTAGATGCCCCTCAACTGTAGGATGGATAAAGACATCTTGAAATTTGAAGGCAAATGGATGGATCTAGAAAACACCATCTTGAGTGAGGTAACCCAGGCCCAGAAAGATGAACATGGTATGTATGCACTCATAAGTGGATACTAGCTGTAATCTTAGTGAGAACAGAACATTCTTACATTGTTTTAGCTGTAGATTTTTAAATGCATGTCTTTATTAAGGAAGTTCTTTAGATTTATAACAACAATTAGGAATGACTGTCATCACTGAAAGGATTTTTAAATTTTTGTTAATATGATGAATCAGCTGCTTTGGTTTTCCAAATACCGAATCAGTCTTGCATTTCTAGAATGAGGCCCTGGTTATGAACTACCTTTTAATCTATTTCTGGATACTGTTTTCTATTTATTGAATTTTTTGTTTGTGTGCATGTCTGTGTGATGACATATAATAACCAGACATTTTATTTCCTCATAATATCTGTACTGGTTTTCTTACTGAGACTTACTGCCTCTTATAAGTTTTCAAGAATTCCTTCCTTTCCTATTTCTCCCAAAGGAATGTATAAAATAGTACTTCATTCTTAAATGTTTTCCAGTTAGATCATTCCCCCTTAGTTTCTTTTGCTAAATTTTCTTTAATTATAAGAAAATCATAATTAGAAAATATTGGTTTCTCTTGGATGACTTTAGTAATGTGTTGTTTAAAGTTACTGATGGACGGCTGGGCATAGATTTGTCCCCAGGCCTCCCTCATCCTCCTGTACTGTCTGCAGGACTAGCATGGTGTCTTCACTTTCTTTCATTATTATGCTAACTCACCTCCATTATCCCTTTTCCTGACTAGCTGGACCATGATACATTTCAATTTATTGACTCTTAAAGAATGATTCACTCTTATACTTCATTGATATCTGTTCTAATCACATTCCTGTTGTTAGGTAGAATATTATATAAGTACCAATTAGTTTGACTGTTTTCAGGTCATTTCTAAACTAATAAAACTATTACTATTGTGTGTATGTGGTATGTGATTTTGATATGTGCACTTGCCACAGCACACATATGGAAAGAGAGGACAACTTTGTAGAGTCAGTTCTCTGCATATACCTTTAGGTGGGCTCCTGGGATTGAGCTCTCATTTCCAGGCTAAGCACTTTTACATTTGAGCCATCCCAGCTACCCAGCTTTCATGTTTTTATTGTTTTTAATCATTAACTATAGAGAAATGTTGTTGGTTTAAATGGTACAGTCACCTATTTTTCCTTATAGATCTGTCAGTTTTTACCGTACATATTTAGTTTATGCACATTCAGGATTTGACCATTTTATATGTGAATATAATGTACTCTGGTCACATTCACGCCCTATAACCCTCTCTTGTTCTTCTCCCACTTCGACTGATCTCTTTCCTCTCCCCAGTTAGCTGCCCTTCCATTTTCATTTTTTTTTCCTTTTTTGGTAACAAATTTTTAATTAGGGTTGTATATATCAGCATGGTGAGGGGTTACTTATATAAGCACTGTAAGTTAGTAGTGACTAAACCCTGAAGAAAATATCACCCCTCCCCCAGCAACCACTTGCTGCCAGCAACCCTTTAGGGAGGGGCTGAGCCTCCTGAGCCCCATCCTGAGAACAATTAGGAAGTGACCAGTAATCTTGGGTAAATGTGCTCTCTTCAGATGAGGCCGAGAGCAAAACACTGTTGGCACTTTCAGACATGCAAATGATAAGTTCTGTGTTCTTAACAATTTATTTTCAAGGTAGCAAAGTCTTGGGTTTCATTATGGTATCTGTGTGTGTGTGTGTGTGTGTGTGTGTGTGCGCCACCCCAGCTGCCGGCCCTCAGTCCACTTGCCCTGTTCTTGCTCATCTTCCTCTTCTAATCGCATGTCTCGTGCATTTCACTATTCTTTGTACTACTTCTCTTTTCCCATACGTCTGTCACTCCAGGGAGAAGGCCTCAGGACAACATCACAGAATCAGCTAGAGAATTCCATATTTTTCTTTTGGAGTCATTTTGGTGATATTTTCCTGAGAATCAATTTTTGTATACACTTCTAAATTAATTGGTATAAATTATCTTTTAAAAAAACATTTTTAAAAGTACAGTTTTTATTGTGCTATCTTTTGCAATTTACATGTTTCACATTGTTTCCTTGCTCCCCCTCCTTTTTCTTGGTAGAGGTTTCTGAGCTGATGACTTGAGGGTGGACAGGTCAGGAGAGGGATACTATCTCCTCTCGGAGTGCTCTGCTCAGGGCGCGACATACCTCCTTTCCCACGCTGTCCCAGCTTCCTTTCGTCTCCTTTGGCACAGTTGTTGACCACAAGCATCTCTTTGCCTGGTAATTATTTTACTAGCTTAAGAAATAAGCAAGAAGTGGAAAGTCAGGCTGGCTTTAAGTCATTTACAAGGACTGGATTACCACCCAGGTCTCTGGGACATAATTTAACTTTTCAGTTTCCTTTGAAGTAACTTTTAGGTATTTGTAAGAATGACAGGAAATGTGATGTTGAGTCCAAATCAACAGAGCTTTGGCAGTGTGTTTACGGCATTTTCTGAGTGACTGTTAGGCCTCTTTTAGATCATTTATGTGTGAGTGTTTTGGTTACTGTATGTTTATGTGCCACATTTATACCTGATCCCTGTGGCCGTCAGAAGAGGGTGTAAGAGCCCCTGTAACTGGAACTGTAGATGGTTATGGGCCTCCAGTAGGTGCTGGGAACTGAACTGGAAGAGCAGCTTGAGTTCTTAAGTACTGAACCATCTCTCCAGACTGACTGTAAATCTTAATCACTTGTCATTCCTCAGGAGGACCACTGAAATAGAGCCCTGCAGAGAACACCAGGACGTGATGGCTGGCTATTGTACCTGGAGTCGGCAGGGGAAGGAAAGAAGCTGCGTGTTCCCTGTGCCTTCCGTATGGACACTGCCATTCCTGGGCTCTAGAAAGGTCTTCACGGCAGGTGTTTCTCACTATCCTTGTTTGATGAAGAACCCAAAGCTTGACATGAAGTGACTAATTAGAAGTCACAAAGTTGGTGTGGGCTCTGAGTCCAGTTGTTGTCTGCTTTCTCCAACAGAACTTGTAAAACTAACAGAAGGATCTTTGTGGAATCTCAGTGTAGTGACACTTTTGTTTTGTTTTGTTTTTTGAGACAGAGTTTCTCTGTGTAGTCCTGGCTGTCCTGGAACTCACTCTGTAGACCAGGCTGGCCTTGAATTTAGAGATCCACCTGTCTGTGCCTCTGGAGTGCAGGGATGAAAGGAATGTGCCACCACTACCTGGTCTCACATTTTTTTTTTAAACCTGCTACACCCAATAAATGATATCAAAGTTGTGTTTGGTAATGCAAAAATATTACTGCCACCAAATATATTTTAATTGTCATTAACATTTTATCTATAACACTATTCCTTATAGATCCTGACTCCAAGTGAGTTTTAGAATTCATGTTTTACCAATGGCCAGGCACTAAGCTTAATTATCTCTGTAAAAGTATGAGTTGACCTGACTCCTGGAGGTAACAGGCAAGTCACTTCACTGCGGTCCTCATCCACAGCCATTATACTTGCTGTCCTCTAAAGTGCCAAAAAATCATTCAAATGCTCACCACAGTGCTTTCATTCAGTAAGGAGTATTTATTAGAAGACATATTAACATGCTTAGATAGAAAGAAAAATAAACACCCACCCTTCAGTGAACTGTAATGAAGAAAATAACATGAACAAAATTTTCTCAGAGAAATTTTTATATTTTACAGCCATAGCATGTCTTGAACACTGTCAGAACACTGTTAGCTGTGATAATAATTTTATAACCTCTCTCCTGACCTCTAGATTTAAATAATTTTAAAGTAAACTTTGGCAATGTGAAGTTCACAATATAAACTCTGGGGCCTGCATAGATATGAGACAGACTTTCTAAGCCCCGAGGATAGAAATGTCCTGGTGCACGTGAACTTCTGGATTCCGCCTGTTATCAGCTTTCTTTCAGGAGATCAAATGCTTCTCATTATTGTACAAGGATTAGCATTCAAATAACAATTTTAATGATACATTTACTCATGGAGAACAATTATTTGAACAAATAATTTTTCTATAAGATATGTACCACCAAGAATTTAAGTTTCCCAAGAATATGTCCTTATGTTTAAGATAACTATCAATTCTCTATATTTTGATAATTATCTATAGTAGTCAAATAAAATCCCCTACACAGCAATAATGACAGCTGCTGCTTGAGGAACACTTACTGTACAGTTAGGCTCTGAGCTATGCACATCATGTTCATCATACAATTTACTGTTCATGATAACGCAAGTGAGCAGGCCAGTTAACCTCACCATATAAACAACACTGAGGCTTCCAGAGAGGCTAAGCAATCGCCAAATTCAAGTAACTGTTAAGTTGTAGAGCCAGGTGTCTGAGGCAGTCTGTCCTACTGTGATCCAAAGCCAGGCTAATTAGTCTCATTCTGTGCCATTCATGAGAGCTCTGATCTGTGATAAATGTTAGTTTAATAACTTTATCTGCCATATATTTATGAAAGTATAGTTTGCATTTTTTAAGATAAGAAGCAAGATCAATTCAGGTGGAACAGTGCCTCTGCCCCAGCTCATTTAATATTATTATTTACATGTCTTTCCACCTTCATTATTCTAGTAAGATTATAAGTGCAAACACACAAGAGTCCATGCAACATATCCCACAAAGGAATGGAAATGTTCAGTACTACTGAATAAAGAACCCCAATTATTACATAGAAAGTGCTTAAAAAAGACTTTATGAGATATCCAGGCCATATTTATTTTAGTATTTTTCAAAATTGACAAGATGGCATAATTTATAAATATCTCAAATCCATTATTTTTTACTATGAGTCAAAATGTAGTATTTCACTAATCAAGTGAGTTCCATTATGTGTCCTTAAAGCAAAGTCACATAGCGTCAAAATGAAACCGATGGGCTTCCTGTCGTTTTTCTCTGTCGTCTGCTTTCTGGAAGAGAATTGTAGAGTAATTTAAGTGCTCAGAAAACATTAAGATTCATTTCTAAAACATACTTTTTTAAAATATCAAAGAAATTTAGAACATAACAGGTATGATTTTCATAATTCAGCAATATTATAAAATATTTGTATAGATCTAGTAGCTATTATATAATTAAGGATATATTACTTGAATTTAAAAATCAAGAAGAAATGTTTACATTATCATTACTTACTCTCGACTTGAAAGCAAGAGTAAACATTAGATGCTAGAACAAAGTCACTGCTAACACCACTGTTAACAAGTCAGTCTAAGCTAATTATATTAGATGATTATTATGTTTTAGTTAGCTTATTGATTTAGCAGATCTTAATTGACCATCTTCTCCTAGTAAGATAGGAGGATTTAAAGAGAAAAAGTTTTGTATTTTGTTCTTTAAGCATTTAAAGCCTAGAAAGGATGAAAACCAAACCTACCATGCCTCAGATTGACCCTAGTTGTATTATTTTGGGTTTGAGTGAGGAAAGGGCAAGCTTTGAAAATACTGTTTATGGAAATGGGAAGGGGCATTCATTTCAAGCTGGAGTTTAGCATGAGGAAGCCTGGCGAGTGTAGGAGGTGGAACACAGGAAAGGAAACGGAACACACAAGCTAGCTGGGAATATTGTGGAGTGACACAGGCGTGTGAGGGCCTGGGTAAGGAACACGTATGTATCTTAGACAGTGGGACGTTACCTGAAGTGAGCAACAGGGTGAGTGACAGAGTGATGAGTGTCGGGTCTAGTGCTGCAGAAAGGGGGAAAGGGGAGAAGCTGGAGTCGGAGAGACCAGCCTGGAGCTGAGGAAGGCTCAAGGAAGCAGACGTGGGGGCAGCTACAGAGGTCCTCAGGAAGGCAGCTGACTAACGCTGAAGATGAGTCAGAGAGGGGAGAGAGGAAGTTTAGAATATTGGCTTTGGGGTGAGTGATCCTGGTAGAGATAGATCATTGTTACTGCTAGAAATGGAGCCAGAAACTTTGAGAGACAGCGATGAAAAGAAAACATTTTGAGATATAATAGTTGAATTTTTAGGGGAAACAGGCTGGAAAGTGTAGAAAGAAGAGGGCTTTTGGAAGATGTGTAGGAAAGGTGCATTGGGAGGATGGAAAATAGCAGCAGCTGGGAGAGGTGAAAAACTGGCTAAAGAAATAGAAGGCCCAGAGTCCCAGGTGATACAGTGGGCACAGGGCTAAGCAGCCAGCTTCAGCTACTGCACCAGAGCTGTTGTGACCCCACACCTACCCCACAGTCAGACCCTGATAAAATAAGGGACTTAGTTTCCTCTCACAGGTAAAAAAATAAATAGTGCTTTGGGTTATGTTGCTTTTAGACAAAGTACAGTGTCAGTCTACAATCTTAAATTTAACTGAATATATAATTTTGGGTTATTATTTCTCATACATGAGTGATTTTTCTTCAGAGTGACAAATCTATAAATATTTATCAGAATAATCAACATGTTCCCTTTTTCATAAGTTACAAGAGCAACGAGATACAATAGTAATTTTAGTTAGTAAAACATGATTCTGGTAGACATGGCAGTCCAAAGGAAAAAGAAAAACCATCTCCTTTGTGACAGAAGCCTTTTTGGAGGACATTGCTGGCATCCATGGCTGAGTACCTGGTATTACTTTCTTCTTTCTTTATGTGCTGCTAGGAAACTGAGCCTATTCCCTCGATCATGGAGTTATATAGCCCAGCTCTTCAGTTCTGAAGAGAAACATTGTACCATAGTAAACTAACCAAAGTTACACGGAAAAACAACAAACCTTTTCCTGCCAATGTAAAATGGCAATTATTGCCAAGATGAAAATGCAGACACCAATGAGGGCTACTGCAGTCAGTAGGACAATGTTACTTGGTGTAAGATACAATTTGGCACTCCAGCTGTAAAAACAGAATAATTAAAATTATAAATTTTAACATAATAACACAATTAAATTGAGATCAGGAAGCAAAGAATCTTATTAATTAATGAAACTTCATTGGTAAAATCGCTCACTCATCTAACAAAAGCAATTAAATTTTGATAATTTGAAGAATATTGATGATCCTAAAGTGTTCATCATTTTCTTAGAACTGAACAAGAATTTTCTTTTTCATGTATGGTTTTGGGGATTAAATCCAGGGTTTCATGTGTGCAGGGCCAACACTTTATAACTGATTTATTTCCAATCTCCCTGAAGTAGAAGTGTTGATGAGATATATAATATTCATGTATTTTTGAGTTTCATCTTCAGAATTATTAAGTAAACTTACCAATAGTACTTTAGACAACTAAAGATGTCTTTTAAAAAGAACATTTTGATGTGTTGAATTTGAAATTTTTAACTCTAATGGCTCTGTAAGTCACGTGATTTCACTATGCCTATAGCACCTTAGTTTCTGATGCCCCTGCCCACACATGAAGTACAAGTAAAACAATCTTATGTCTGAGTCAGTGTTTATTGATGGCTGTGTAAAACTTGCTTCATTTCTGTGTTATGTTGGACATTTTAAAATTATTACAGTAACTTTTATGTTGAGACTAGCAAAGGCACTTAGCCTCTCCATGAATGTCAATATATAGACAATGACATCAGCATAAACATAATTAGGTCTTTTCTCTTAAAACACTAAACATAAACCTGTATGTTTAATGTTAATATTTAAACCTGTAAATACTGCAAAACCTAAATTTGGGGTCTTATTACTAACTCTGTTGGCAGTTATGCACACAGAGATTCTTGTCCTCCCTGGAAACTGGAAATGACTGTGTTCTCATTTTAAAAGATTAATAAGGGCAAGATCATTCTAATGAACAGCAAGTAGCTATTGATGTATTTTGACATAATTAAAATGTATTGATCCATAAGTTAGTCTTTAGTCAGTAAATCTCAGAATACACCTCAAACAAAAATCAATTAGGGTTTTTATTATGTACATAAATTTGAAAAGGACATTTCTTTGGAAAGAGCAAGAGAAACATGAAAAATGTTCTGATTATGGAAGAAAGCTGTGACAGGATTTTTCAGAAATTCATAAGTATAAGCCTTAAGAAAAACAAGTATCGTTGAGTACCTTACAATAGAAAATAAAACTTGTGTATTTTTTTGAGACAGGGTATGTATGTATGTATGTATGTATGTATGTATGTATATATATCCCAATGTATCCTTG